TGCTGTGTGAACTGCTAATGAGGTGAGCTCCTATCACCAAGTGATAGGAAATCTTTTACTTCACTTTCTAACTGGAATTACTGTTCACCTAAAAGTAAAGGAAGATATGAGAACTCAATCTCTTTAGGGGAAAAAAAAGTGCAGTTAATATGACTGTAATGAGGTCATGACTTGCAGAGAAGAAGCTCTGAAAGGAGAAAATTGGGCTTAACTGCTGAAAATGATGAGGAAATTGTTCCTGTGATGAGAATGTTTTCTTCAAGTCCTAGAAGCTTTCTTCTTCAAGCATTAGAACACCTGGTCAGTAGTTGATGAGGCACTGCAAACCAATTTAATCAGTATAGAATAAACCTTGGCTATTCCTTCATTTCTGGTCTTCTACATATTCTGATCTTCTGATAGCTAGCAGAACACAGATGTGTGATGACAGCCTAGACCGCACATTGGAGAAATACGTGAGTTCTATATATACCTGTGGCAGAGACCTATGTCTACAAAATCTGTATACTAAGTTTTATTTTAAGTGAGCTTAAAATAAATGTTTTGTACTGTTTTTGATAGAAAAATTATCTTAAATGCTTGTTGAAAATTTGATTTAATTTCCCTAGGTTTTTATAAAGACACTAAATGTGGTACTCTAAGTCTCACTTGTTAAGCTTGAAATGAATCTTTAAAAAAAAAAGAAAGGCAAAATATAAGCCATTTTACTACATTTGCTTGAGATAGTGAAATTATGTAAATGGCTCTTACTGTATTGTGCTCACTTCTGCTACATGCCATAAAACCAAATGTGATTCTCATCAGAATGACAAATAATTCTGCTTTTGCAGTGTTAATGCAAGATAGAGATTTGGGGAGGAGAGAAAAATAATGTGAAATAATAACCTGAATTATTGATCAAGGACTGGTGCTCCTGGTTGTCAGCCTGTATCTCAAAAGGAGCATGAGCTAGCAGATGAACACTTTTTTTCTTTGAGATTTAAAGGTATTGTCTGTCATCTTTTGTATTCTCACTCAGGGCATTTTCATTCTAGTTTGGCTTGTTGGTCTATGAAAAGAGCTACTTCAGAGCTACCAGAACTGAATTCTTCAAGATTTTGGTGTGTATTCTTTGTACTGCTTATAATAGGTTTTCATTTCAAGATTCTAAAAATTCATATGCTTGTAGCTCAGGTTGGCTAGAGAAACTAGACCACTTTTACATCTTTACAGTGTTTACAAGTGAGAATCATCAGGATTTTTTATGTTCCATCTTTGTAGTTCTGCTTCATTACAGTGAGATAAGCATGCCATGGTTGCTACTACAAAACCATTGCCTAACCTTTTCTTTGAAATAATTATCTCATTAGAAGCAGAACTGAATGTTCGTTATGTAGCTGTATGAAATAGTGATTGCTTTACCCTGTGACTGTACGCTGTAATCAAAAACCAGTACAGCATGAAGTTGAAACTTCAGGATTAGAACCCTGTACAGAGTAAGAAAGCAACAGGAAATGCTGTCTGAGATGGTTAAAAATGTTGGAAATTCTGCTGTAGGTGTGACCTGCGTGGCCAACACTGTTCCATATCAGGTTATCCAAACCCACAAGCAAATCAAAGTTGCTAAAGGTAATTTATAAATCTTTATCTTTTTTTCTGAAGAAAAAAAAGAAATCGGCTTCATTTGAAATTCATGTAGATCCAGGGAGTACCTCTGAGCATTAAAGCTGGCCTCCAAATTTAAACCTATGCTGTCTTTCAAACATCATGCTTCATTGTTTAAAAAAGAAAAAACACACTTTCAAGTGATTTCTGTGGTGTAATGACTAAAGCCTGACACCATCAAGCCGGGATGGGCACAACTCACTTAGAGTAAGGTAAACTCAATTATGAGGAACTGGATAGTAAACTGACTGCAATTTTTAATAATTAGGCTATCATGATTACAAATAGTTACTAATACAGTGGTTCAGAGTTCCTTTAACAATGTTTGAAATGCATGCACACTTGGGGATGGGGGGGGAAAAGCTCCCTGTGCGAAAATGTCTAACATTCAGGATAAGTTCAGTGGAAAATGTTTCAGTATCTCTAGTCACAAACTTTGAACTTTTAAAATGGTTGTAATAATGGAATGGCAACTAAAAATACAAATGAAAGATGATGAGGTAGTTTGTGAAAACTGATAAAGAGGAAGAATGTACTAAAATTCAGTCAAAATTTCTTTGACTGAAAGCACACTGAAAAATTAGAGACTAGCAATGTACATGCTGAATGATTTGGCTTTAATTTGTAGATGTCTTCTTAAAAAAAAAAAAAGTGTGTGGCAAGAGTTTACTGCAAACAAACTTACTACTATTTTCTTACCTTTACCTTTAGCTGCAAGTGGCTATTACAGATCTGTTTTCCTCTGTGCCTACCTGAACACCAGCTCTCTCTCCTGACGTGGTTTTTTTTTTTTTTTTTTTTTTTTTTTTTTTTTAAATTATTCTAAAAGGTGAGAGAAAAGCTCAGGGAACTGATCTTGTGTATGGTGGGTGCCTCTTACGAGTGTTTGTTGGTATGACACTTGCACATTCTGTTGAATCTCTATTTAGACTTGTCAGAAGTAGGAAAAAGGAGGGGATACTTTTACCTTTTTATGGAGATCTCACTACATGTGAGATCTAAGATAGCTTCATTCTTGTTTTTCTCTCACAATCGTAAAGTTGTATTTGAATCCAAACAGAAATCATAATCCATTATTGCAAGTCTCATTTATAAGTCCTTTATATTTTGGAAAGCAAGAGTAAACTTATTTGCAAAACTGAAAGTTTCTGCTATGACTTTCATCAGTCTTACAGAGCACCAGAATTGAACATTTCTTGCATTGAACAGTAAGCTGTCAGTCATTCTGTTCCAGAACAAGGTAAGAAACCTCCTGATGACTTTGTTATGAATAATACCATAGGTTATTGAATTAGGTGGTGTCATGGGGTAAGGCAGCCTTGTCTCAGAATAAACCATTTTTCTGTGCTGTTTTAGTATTACTTCAGTTGTATGCTTACTCAATCTAGAATATCTAGTGTTATGATCAGAGGCATAGTATTCATTCAGTTAACTGCTTTCTCACTCTTGGATGATAGCTAACTCACTGCAAATTCAGAGGTCAAGGATTTGTGCATACATCTAAGTGTGAATCTTACCCTTCCTTCTCTGTTTACTTCTTTATTCACTCTTCCCTTTCCTTCTCTGGAAGAGCTTATGCTACTGGAATAAATGCTCTGTAAAAGCAGTCACATGGAAGCTTGTGACCACTTTGAAGTCAATTTCAAAATAGTTTTTGAAGTTTTTTTTCCTGTCCAGTGTAGTATTCCACATATTTTCATGGGCAAAACCAGACCTGCTTCAATTTCACCCAAAAGGAAAGCTACCAGATTCTAGAGGATAGTTCATACCTAAAATATTTGAGTAAGTTTTCCAAAGGAGCACAAAGTTTTACCTGTTTTTGTAATATGATAAACCCCTTGCTCTACAATAATTTGAACAGTTGTCTCTTTACATTTTACTTTCAATTCCCATGGGAAAAGATCAAAGGGGGAGCAAAGGCCATGTACAACCTGGGAAGCACAATGTGTTTCTCTTAAAACATTTGTGAAGGGAAGGGCAGCACTGTCCTTCTGGTAGAAGAGTGCCAGTGTTATTTGGCTTAGAAGGAACCTCAGAAGCTCCCTACCCCAATCTGTGGCTCCAAGTAAGCTCAACTGTGAGTTCTGAGTGGATTAGCCAGAACTTGACCCTCTTTGACCTTGAAAAGGGATGGACACCATGACATTTCTCTAGGGGACCTATTTCGCTGTTTGGCTATCTTCATGATGGAAAAGATTTTCCTACTGTTGAGTCAGAACCTGTTCTGCCTTAAGACCATCTCTTGACTTGATGTGTCTCTGACCAAAAAAGATACAAAGCAGGTCAAGAGATTACTGGATATTATTTCAAAATGATCAAAAATACTTAGGCGTTTTGTTCAGTCACTTCACTTTGTAGGTGCTGGCTGTTATTGGGTGACCTCCCTACTTCAAGCTCATATCTTCTCTACACTGAACTGAAATTCTCCCACCATCTCCAAACAGAGCATTTGATTATGTCTGTGGCTGTTCTTGTGACTATATTGGCTGCTGGAGATGGGCTTTTTCCCTGATTGAACCTGTTGTAGAAGAAAAACCTACAACTCTGTAATGCAATTTATTCTTTGTGTGAGCTCCTGTGAGAATGCAACTGTGTGATTCCATGTGTGGTTTAACTTCTCAGCTGTGCTGATTGTCAAGTGAAGAGCTGGATGCCTTTGGGTGAGATGGTTAACTAATGGAGCACGGAGAACTGTGGGGGGTTTTGTCTGAGGGGAGCTGGTGTGGGTTTTGAGGGGGAGATAAAGAAAACATACCTGATCTGAACTGCTGTGTGTGTAGGGTCTAAAGAACAGCATTGAGCTCTGGAGAAATTCCAGCTGAAGGTGCATCTGTGACTCCAGCCTGAGCACTTGTGACAGGGTCAGCGCCAGGAGACAGGTAAGTCCTGCAGGAGGCTTTTCTGCCAGGGACAGCAGCTGCGTGATAGGGCTGCTGGTGGGAGTTCAGCGGGAAATACACCCCGGGTAATAAAATGGCCACTCCTCGCCGGACGGGGCTGCTACAGTGCCGCCTTACCAAGTTGTAAACGCAGCTTTGTTTTTCCGGCTTTGCTCTCCGTGAATAGTAATCCTCGGTAACTACTTGTGTCGTCTTCTATGATCTATTTCGCGCTCTCCTACGCCCTGTCGCTCCTTTCCTTGTAGCAGCTCGACCCCTCACAAGCGCGCACCAGATCTGCTCCACGCACCCTCCGCACCGCTCTCCCTCCCGGGCCCGGCCGTAGCGCTCGGGGCGGAGCCCAGCTGAGGGACAGAGAGGGGCGTGCCCCTTTCGGCAGAGCTTCTGCGGCGCGGGCGCTGCCCGGCAGGTGGCGCTGTAGCCGCCTGCGCCGCTCTCGGCTCCTCTCGGAGCTGCGCTGCGAGGAGCCCCCGCGTGTCCGCCATATTGGTGCCCGCGCCGCAGCCGCTGCGCCTTGTTCCTCCATCTCCTCCCGGCGCGGCCCAGCGGAGCCCGACGGGGGAGGGGACGTCGGCGCCGCCGGGCGGGAAGCGGGGGCGAGGAGACCGCGCGCCGCCGGGAGGAGACGGAAACGAGCGGGGCCCGCGTCCCTCCGCGCCCGCCCCCTGCGCCACCCGCCATGGCGAGGAGGCCCGGCGGCTCCTGAGCGCGGCGCGCACGCACAGAGCGAGCCGAGCCCCGGCCCGGCCGCCATCAGCGGAGAGAAGCCGCCCGGCCCCCGCCTCGGCCGCGACATGGAGGCCGTGAAGGCCTTTAACAGCGAGGTGCGTGCCCCCTCCCGCGCCTTCCCCCGGGGTCGGGGAGCGGGCGGGGCCCTGGGGCCCGGCGCCTTCCCTGCCCCCTCCCGCTGCGCGCGCCTCGCCGCGGGGAGGGGGCGGAACCGGGGGGCCGCTGCCGGGCAGCCCCGGCCGGCGGGAGCGGGGAGCGGCCTCCCCCGGGAAGGTCACCGGGGTGCGGCGGGGGCCGCTGTCAGCGGGGGGGGGGGGCGGCGGCGGCGGGAGAAGCTCCCCGAGCCCGGGCGACTTCCACCGAAGGGCTGCGGGAGACGGCGCGAGGAGGGCGGTGGGGGAGGCTGGGGGCAGCGGGCCTCTTCCGTGCTCCTGACTGGAGGGAAGAGCGGTGCCCGGCCAACTTCACGCAGGGAGCTCGGGAGAGCGGGGCATTTCCTGGCTAGGTCTGCCCCATTCTCCGATCCGCTCGCCTTTTCCGGCACCCCTTCCCACTTTTCTTGTTTAATCGCCTGCCCGCACCCCGCCAGCGTACATCTCGGCACCTCCCTGAGCTGCTTGTGGATCGGGGGGTGGGAATAGGAGGGCCTGGAGGCTCACCTCCGTGACCGAAAATAGCTCATTTAGAGAGGATAGAATGAAAGCAGACATTCCATACGTGTTATATGGAACCACACTAAAAACTGTTGAGAATGATACAGAAGATTTGCAAACATTGCTCACAAAGATCAGTTATTGATAGGATATGTAGCTTCTTTCTTCCTTTTTTTTTTTTTTTCTTTTTTTTTTTTTTTCACCAGTACTTCATCTTATTTCAGTATAGCTCTTAGGATAGCTCTGCTTTGTTCCTCTTCATTGCCAGAGTTTATATTTGAGAGCTCAGGTGAGAATAAGGAAAATAAATACCCGTTTTCTCCATGGGAAGTTCTGTGCCTTAGAAAACTCGACTTTTATTAAATGTAGAAAGTATCCGCTCTGGTTACAATGCGTACTTCTGCAGGCTGCTTGGAGTTGGAGCTCCGGGTTTCTCTCTTCAACATAGAAGTGGCAAGGTTTTAATAATTTAAAAGTTTTCTGTTATTAAATTTTATCAAGTGGCAGTTTTATTTTTGTAGTGGAACAGTGTGCTAACCATGTTGTATCTACAAGCCAAAATAAAATTTTAGAAGTGTTTTTTAAGTGGCGCTTCTTGAGAACTCAGTAGGAACTGACTTGGCCTAATTGATGTACAGTTCTAAGTTTTGCATGTAACACAATTTGAATTCTCGAGCGGAAAAATCATGTTGTAAGCAGAAAAAGAAAATACTAAAAACATTTCTGTTCTACTTTTTACTTTGCTTACATACCGTATTCTTAAGTAGGGAAAAGTCTAGTCGCAGTAACAGAAGAACATAAGCAATTTAGAACCTTTTTCTTGTGTATACCTCCCAGCACGAGCAATAGTTTTTGCTTCTGTATTCAGAAACAACTTCTGGATGACTTGCTGAGCACGCAGATATAAATACTGTCAGAATAACAGATGAACTCTGCAGACTTAGGGTAAGGAAGAGGAAAGCTTCAGAGTGTGCCCATCTTTTAAATGCTCGAAAAAGACTGGAGTTTGTGTTCTTGGAAAAAGAGATGCAGAAGATGAACCACTTTTTCTCCTGTAGTGTTAGTTGGTAGCATCTATGAATAGATTTGTTTTTATGTCTTCTCTCTGTTTTGGTTTAACGGCTGTCTCTGTATTTGAATACTGGTCTACACTGATAGGAAAGTTTTGAAGATGCTGTAACCAAACCCCTCACCCTGGAAGTAAGTGATACACAAGTTGCTGTGTTTGTGAAGTCCTGACTATAGTTGCTAGATACTCTAACACCTCCGTATCCGCTGCAGTACTTGATTTTAACTTAATTTTCCATAGTTATTTCTGGTCTAACTGACCTATATGTACTCAGCATTTTAGAAATGTGAAATGACACAGTGAAATAGCTGAAGTGGATGTGTCCATAGCTTATGGTTTATGCTATACCTGAATACTTTTGAGTAAGTTACAGAATATTTGTACTTTGCTTCCAAAATTCCTTTTTCTTTTGGTTTATATTATGCTCAGAGATGAAGCTATACTTCAGACATGATGTTGGAGTTTTTTCTTCTAGAGATGTTTGCTTTAAAATAGATGTAAATTAAATATAGCATCAGATCCAGTAGACTAAATTCATAGAAGAAAAACTTTTAACTGCTTTCTCTTATGCAGCTTGCATTCAATTCACAATTTTACAATAGTTTATGCAGTTTATGTAACTTACTGGTGAAATCTTAATGACGCTTTAGAAAGAACGTTCCAAATACATTCAAACACTTAAATATGCAGACTGGGTACTTCTATTGTTTGTGCTTTTTTTTTCTTAGGGAAGGAGTTGTGTTTGGATTCTGCCATGAAGCTAAAATGAAAGCAGCTGTCCACCTAGGTAGTGTAAATTACTCAAAATGTTTGTGAACTGAAAGAAGATCTCATAGCTGTCCTATAGGAGAGTCACAGTGGAAGTGATTAACATAGGTCACTAATTTGATTAGAAAGAAATATCTCAAGTTTCCCCTTGTACTCTTGAGTACTGGATGTAATGCCTGCTGCTGCAGGTTGTGCATCGTGTTGATACTTGGCATTGTCAGTGCTGTACCTCACTGTGAATGTAAAATTAGCTGTTATATCCCATCTCTGGAGGGTTCAGGGTCAGGTTGGATGGGGCTGTTGGCAGCTTGATTTACTGAGTGGCAACCCTGCACGTGGCATTACATGTTTTCATGTAGTGGTTGATATTTTACCTTGGATTCAAAATGCCTAGCAGTGAAACAGAAAGATGAAATATTTCACAGCTGACTTTGTATGCTATTAATTGTCAGTGTTTCACTGCATGGTTTATCATTTGCTATAGTTGACATCCTTGAAGCTTAGCTACTGCAGAATCATGTTCCTCCAGGTCTCACTTCAGACCCCGAGCTTTTTCTTAAAAGCAGAGCATCAAAGTCAAGAACAAGTCTTGACAGAAGAAAATTATTTAAACGTTTAAAGATCTTTACACATTCCATACAATGGATTTTGTTAGAAGGAACTTGAATGAACTAGAGGCAAGCACACGTACTGTCAAGTTCCAGCAGTGAGATAATAGTGGTTTAGTTGCAAATGTAAGTAACTAAAACATACTATTTGTTGTATAGCTGTCTAAAAGCTAAAAGCTTTTAAAGAACATTATCAGCTTAGATGCTTATTTCCCTTAAAACTGCAGTAATAATTCACTGATCTAGTTCGATTAAATGCAGCATTCCATTTATTTGATGTTTCTCACATGTCTTAGTGAACTAGCTTAAAGCCTGCCTGTTGGTGATGCTACCCTTGCTGTCTTTTTGTTTTCTCTGTACTTAGAAGAAAAACACCTGATGCTTACCTTGGACAGTTATCTTTCTAGTTTTAAGGCAGCACAGTATATTACTGATATCCAAGTGGCAATTGTAAAAAGGTCAGCCATATATTAAAAAAAAAAAAAAGACATAGCTTCTTGAAGCTCATACCAGGAACAAGAAATCTCTGTGCATTTGGGTATTGATCTTTTCATACGCAACTGAATTGAACGGTGAAATAAGTATCATTGTGGAGACATGGAATGTGCTCCATATTGAAGTGTTTGAAGGTGGGGTGCACATAATGCACTGAAAGATGAAGGAAGTGACTTTAGTTTGCATAAAGAGTGATGTGGATTCCTGTGTCTTTTCTGTTGTAAATTCATTTGTCTTCTAGGAAGAAGAGCCACAAGTAAAACTTGCCCAGAGTTACTAGACTGGGCTGCAGGTGTTTTTAACGATGAGAATGGCTATCCATACATAGGTCATCGTAAAGTGGGGTCGCAGTGAGCATTTGGTGTGCAGGACAGTTTTGAGAGCTATGTAAGATGAAAGGAAATGGTTCATAAAATCTTCGTTGTTACGTTTGAGCTAACTAACCTCTTCTTCTGAAATCTGTCAGTGGTAGGGATGTAGCTGCCACTGATCATTTACTGCTGGTGCAGTTGTCTGTGTGCTCCACTTAACTGAGCTGTCCATTGCTCACCATGGCCATGATGTTTCTTCAGACAGCAGCTTTGCAGTGGTGACGGGGGAGCAGTTTGGTTAGCTGTGGTTTCAGAAATATCCTCTTGGAAATAACTTACACGTTCATTACACTCACTGCAGTATGGATGCACAAAAGTACAGCGTAAATCAGTTACTCTGTTTTAGAGGGCTGTATTTATATGGCAGCTTTTTTATAAAAGAATGCCAGTTGATGGTTAAAAGAAAAAGCCTAACTGGTATGCCTCATAAAGGTGCTAAATAGAAATTGATGCTGAATAGTTGAATAGAATGGTGAGAAGGATGCTCTGTGAAATGAGGAGCCAGGGCTTTGATTAGTGCAAGTAATGATAATAGCTGTTGTATATGAGGAAGAGCAGAAGGGCATGTAAGCTACTCCAGGGCAAAACAGATTTCTGAAATCCTGCCTTTGCTGAAGCACCTGTAACATCTGCAGAGTTTTATTTTCTGTCTCTCATTGCTGAGAAAATGAGAAATCCTCTGCCTGTTTTCTTTTCTTTCTTGCCAATAGTTTAACAGTGGTGGAAAATAGTGATAGGAAAGTGCAACTTGCTTTCACATCCTCTGCTGTTTTAAAGGACTCTGCTACTGATACCTTGAAAGCTTTTTAACTTTTGGTTTTATCTGATACTTCATTTATCTTCTGTTCTTTGTAAGCTTTGTTGTAGCAGATTGGGATTCTTTTATCTCTTATTCGTAATTTCTAGGATTAAAAATTAACCATTTGTAGTTGCATGTGCATGTAGATACCTATCCAGAAAGGTGTCTCAGGTTTTCATTCTTAACCTCTGGCTCAGAAGTGAAAATGGTCTTCGGTTTTATTTTGCATTATAATCCCATAGTGCTCCTCAGAGAAGAAAAAGCAAACGACAGAGAAAATGCATTTCATTAGGATGCAGCAAAATATGTAAGAATTTGTTAATTTCACTTTT